TAGGGTAATGAAGATGCCCCACAAATAAATTGTATTGTTCATATGTCATGAACTCCGTATCTTTTGACCAAAAAAATAGACAAAACAACACAATTGATCCTCTTAGGTGTTTAATAATTAAACTAATTCTTAAACACCTAATATAATGTATTGTTCATATGTCATGAACTCCGTATCTTTTGACCAAAAAAATAGACAAAACAACCCAATTGATCCTCTTAGGTGTTTAATATTTAAACTAATACAAAAAATAGTGCAATAGATTCAATGATATTCTAAAAAAGTTATTGACCAATGATACATATTGCTCGATTGTTTACATACTTTATTAGAAGTCTACTAACTCAACCCATATCACAACTTTATGATGGTGTTACTGATGTCCTTGGTTAAAATCCATCAATGAATCATTAACCCATGAACTGAAAGGGCTATTATCCAGAACAATAAGCAAATTTGCTTGATTTTGGAATTAAAAAACAATTATAACATTTGCCATCTATGGGACGGTACCTCTACTTGAAAGCTTCTCTATAAATCTTCATTTATGAAATGTTAAAATGTCTCAAATCCACAAAAAAAAAAAAAAATCAAAAGACAACTGTCAAACTAAGGGTACATTTGATAAAACTAAAGTTTGAAACTAAAATTTGAAATCTGAAGTTTGAATCTATTAAGTTATTGAATTGTTAAGCACAAAATCTGATATATTTAAGTGTATATCATATTAAGTGATAAGTGAATAGGTCATCACATATTTTTGAGAGCAAGTTTTTCTTAAAAAATTCCGTGCCACTTAATAAATTTAGATGTTCAATTTTTGGTTATCAAATGCATCTGAACATGATGTGAATCTATTAACTTTAAGTACTAAATTGACTTATTAAACAGGTTCTAAGGATATATTGTAGGAGATCTAGTATGAGCAATGAATCATGGGGCCCTTCAAAGAGGAGTATGACATAATCAAATGCTTTTTAATTAATTGATCAAACATGCTTATGTTCACAACAACATATGTTTGTGGATAATTTAAATAAGTTAACCCTTCCCTAACAAATAGAAAACATGTCTAAATAGACAAAGTAGACAAGAAAACTTGAATTATTTTTCGTTAAAGCTCCTGAAGACAAATCTTAGTGTTGACATGTAGTACCAGCTACCAATTACTAGCATCAATAACTTGTACAAGAATATCTTATTTCATCCTAAAACCTAATATAATCAATTGTCCGATTCCAAAATATGTGATGAATCAATGTTAATAAGAAATTAACAAATTTACAAAATACAATTAAAGAATGAAGGTAAAGTAAATCAAAAGCATACTAAAAATATGCCAATAATATAGGAGAGTAGAAATGCTAAAAAGAGCCATTCGAGCAAAGAAATAAAAGAAAGGAAAAGAATAATAGACAGACAATTAGTCCATACATACAATATTTTCCTTAATTGCACCATACAATGCATAGATATAGTACAAACCATAAATGTATACCCACATAGACATCACTTTCTTCCCCTCTGTCTTTCTCTCCATATGATATATAGTTAGATATTCATGTAAAAACGCATATACACAGATACAACCTAAGTACATACCATATTCATATTAGAAAGTTTACATGTTACGGAAATAATGCTCTTCCAATTAATCTTGTTTATATTTTGAATAGACAAAGACGTTAAATAAATATGGTGTACACTAAAGTAAGTGATGGTGAAATGATTGCTAAGTTGCAATTTTATTACAATGAACCAAATAATTCTACCAAAATTTACATGACATTATTAGAATTCTTGAAATTTCTTGAATGTGAACAAGAAGATATTGCTTTCATAGGCAACAATAAACACCACACAGGCAATTATCCTTGCTGAGGCACTCCCCAAATAAGGTGGTGTTATAATTTTGAGCACAAAGGATCATGCATGGCCCGGCATCACACCCTTCCATTTTCTTTTCAATGTAGCATAGCATCCATGTTTTTCCATCTTTTCCATCCGCGGGCATAACAAAATTAGATCCATTACTACTTCTTTTATGACTCTTATCATATGAACCAAAATATTGTGGACAAATTACTGAAGATCTCTAGTGGCTTAAAGTAAGTTACCTCTCACAATCTTGAGGGAATTTTTTTTTTAAAATTTTTTAAAGTTAAAATCTTGTGGGTTCAAAAGTTACCTTTTGAGATGTTTGGCTTGAACTAAATTGAATAGTAATTTTTTTTGGGTAAACACCATACATACATAGGGAATGGATACTAGTTCTAACATTTTTTTAAAAAAATAAGAATATTTGAAGGAAGGAGACATGGATAATAAAATTTAATTTTAAAATTAGTCTTGTTGGTTCAATAGTTACCTTGTTGCAATTGTTGTAATTTAAATTATTTAGTAAATTGAATACTAATTTTTTTTTTATAAACACCATGCACGACAGAGGGACATTAGTCCTAAAATTTTATTGAAAAAATAGAAATAGTGGAAGAAGGGGGGCATAGACAGTAAAATTTAAAGTAGAATGACTTTTGTTATATTAAATGATACAATAAGCAATACTAGTAACTAGATGGATCATTAGGAGTTAATTATAGATGGAAATGTCATTAACTTTTCAATAATATAAACACAAAAATGTTAAAGGTTTTTAAACTCTAATATCACTCAAACAGTTAGTACGTATTACCACTTTTGTTTTTCATTCACAATCAGTGCTCTCATATAAGGTAAAAATGCTAAATTTAGTGCTTGATATTAAAATGTGAAACTTTTAGTATCTTTATAGTCCAAAAGACAAGGGGAAAAAACTTAGGTTAAACCATAAGCGTTACATATAAACCACATGAAGATAATTCATACTTTACAATAACATATATAAAAAAATCATTATGCATAAATGGCATGGGGATAACTCATAACTTACCATAACGTATAAAAGACCAAAAAGCATTACATGTAAACCACATAGGGTTAACTCATAATTTATCCACAAAAATAATTTTAAAAAATTGGCAATAAGAACTGGATGATTGTATTCATCTATTTGAAAAAGAATAGCCATTGGTTTGGCGACTCATTGTTGATCGTCTGCATAGGAGTAAGTTTCATGACAATTTCCATCAAATGAAGGGCCTGTTTGGAACCTGAGTTTTTTGGGAGTTTGTCTAAAACTTTACTGTAGTACACTGTAGAAGTTTTTGAAAAAATTTGTGTAAAATTTTTTGTAAGGTGAAAAATTTTTTTGTAAAAGTTTTTAAGAGGAAAAACTTTTTTTTTTTCTTTTTCTCTTTCTCTTTTCTTTTTCTTTTTCTTTCTTTTCTTTTTCTTTTCTTTCTTCTCTTCTTCTTCTTCTTCCTTCCCTTCCCCCTTCCCCGTTACCAGCCCCCCTCCCCGCAGCAACGCAGCACCCCCTACCCCTCCCCCTCTCCCTCCCTCTGCCGTCACCCTCCCTCTCCCCTTCCCCCTCCCTCCCTTTCCCCTTCCCCTTCTTTCCCCTGCCACTCCTCTTCTCCCTCCCCGCCACCCCCCTCTGCTCTCCACCCCTTTTCCTCCACTCTCCTTGCCACCCGCCACCCATATTCCTCCCCTCTCCCCCGTCACCCGCCACCCCTTTTCCTCTCCCGTCTCCTCCACCCGTCACCTCTTCTCCTCCCCTCTCCGCCGCCGCCCCTCTTCTCCCTCTTCTCCCTCTGCCCCGCCAACCCCCGCTGCCTGCCACCTCCTTTTTCTCCTCCCCTCATCTATCCCTGTCACCCTCAGCAGCCTCGTCGCCCTCGCGCGAACAAATCGCAGCTCCCCTCCCCTCCACTTTTGCGATCTGGTCATGGGACCAGATCTGGTCGCGGGAGGGGGAGGGTTGCGGGGGACACACAAAAAAAAAAAGAGGAAGGCAGTCAAATTGGGTAAAGGGAGGAGGATGGCAGGGAGAGGGAGAAAGGCAAAAAAAAAAAAAAGAAAATGGCGCCGGAGGTGGTGGTGGTCGGCGACGGAGGTGGTGGACTGGGTTGGGATGGTAGAGGAAGAAGAAAGCCAAAGGGAAGGGAATTTTTTTTATGTGTGTTTTGTGTATTGGGTTGGGATGGTGGAGGAAATTGTGTGTGTTTTGTATATTTTGAAGTGTGTAGGTAAAAAATTTTGAGAAGTTTTTTGGGTTCTTGTAGCAAAAGTTGTTAAAAAACTTGCCCAAAAAACTAGCTTCCAAACAGGGCCGAAATTTCAAAGTTCTAAGAAGATTTTAAGGCTTATAAAAGCTGAACTGAAATTTTGTAATCATTAGTCTGTTTTATTGAATTTTGTAATCATTAGTGTAGTTTTGCTGCTTATTTGTATTGTCTAATTTATTAAATGTAAACTTTTTAAGTGGTTAAATGTGTGTTTTAATTATTTCTAACTTTTAATTATTTTTATTCTCTTACTAATACGACTTATATACATGCATAAGGGGTATTTATGGAATAAAAATTTCATCTCTCTTCTTCAAGTACTTTTTTAATGTTACTTTTTTTAATTGGACTAACTTTGTTATCAAGATTCAAAGGGTTAATTCCACTTTGTCCCCCCAAACTTTGGACGATTACCCACTTAAGTCCCTAAACTTCAAAATGGGACACTTAAGTCCTTAAACTTATAAATACCTCCCACTTAAGGAAAATTATTAACAAATCCTGAATGCCGTTGGTGGTCGAAGTGTCTCATTTTATAAGGGTTTAGGGATTTAAGTGTCCCATTTTATAAGTTCAGGGACTTAAGTGGGAGGTATTTATAATTTTAGGGACTTAAGTGTCCCATTTTGAAGTTTAGAGACTTAAGTGGATAATCGTCCAAAGTTTGGGGGGACAAAGTGGAATTAACCCAGATTCAAAACCTTAACCTCGGGGATATTTGTATAATTTTACAAATTTCAGTGGAGACCAGTGAAATTGTTAAGAACCTCAGGGGAGCTTTCTGAATTTATCCCTAGTAATATATTGACGTCTTCCTCCAGGTTTTGTCGGCCTCCTTTGTTTCTGTCTTCTCCTCCCCTTCTCTCTCCCTCGCGAGAATTTGCTTTTGTTATTACCCCCAGCTTGACCTAACTCCTCCATCGCTCTCCTCCAGCTTGGCTAGAACAGGAACCATTGTTAATCATTTTTTTTCAGTTCCTTTTCAATTATGAATCGGAGGTTATGATTAGCACCATGGTTCTCCATTTTTTTTTCTTTTAATTAAGTTGCAGGTGCGCATCCATGGCTCCTGGGAGTAATATTTACTAAATTGGGTTGATCAGTTTGTTGAAGCATTGAAATTTGGGTCATATAATTGAATGCATTTCAATTCCTTTTCTGAAAACTCATAAATTTCAATCGCTGGTTATTTGTTCTCCTGTGATTGCTTTAGTTTAATAATATATTCCCACACATTTTCCTCTTTTGCCTTCCAGGTGTCTGTGTTTTTGCTCAAGCTGCTACATCACCTTGGTAATCCCATTTTCTACTTAAAATGCAATTTATGCTTAAAATTTCCTTGCGGCTTCTTCATTGCTATTATAGTCTAGGTTTAGACACTGGAGTTGCCAATTGTCCACTGGTGCTTGATACTCTGCTAATGTTACCTAAGTGGAAATTTTGCGACATTGTGTTAGATGTTGAATTTCTCTTAACTATAGTCAGATTTTGACCTCCCAAAAACTATGTTTAATGATAGTGAATTTGAATTGTGTAGTGACTATATTGATGTAACATGAGGTAGACAGACTAAATTAAAATGAAGTTATCAATATGGGAGTTTTTTTTTCAATGACCTTGTTTTTCCCCTCATACTTTGTTATATAATTGGATTTTGGATTTCTTCTCCATGATTACGAAAGAAAAGTTTGTTTATTTTTGTTGGGAATCTTCCAATTCATTTCCCACTCAAAAAGTTAATGGCCTTAGAAAACCAAGTCCTTGTGATGTTCATATGCTAGAAGAGTTCAATGGTCCGGTGGTTGAATTTCATTGGTTCAAAGGTTTTTCTTGTGAAGTATGAAAGTTGATTTCCTTCTCTTTATTAATACTTACATGAATTTCCGCTGCACTATTAACATTTAGTAGCCCTTTCAGACACATATAACTTTGAAAATTGGTTATGGGCACCTTAACTAAATTAATGAGTGCCTGAGCAGATCTATTGAGGGATCAATCTGTGTGCACCTAAGCTTTAATTTTTGTTGTGATTACCTGGTTTGTTTGATGTATAGGCTCCTTGGGAAGATTGATTATTCCAACATGTGGTAACGATATGATTCTATCTTCATATTTGTATATTTGATGGCAAGAATTAGTCTTTCTTGGATTTTTTATTCAGAAGAAGAACAATGACAAAATCGAAGTTAGAAAAGAGATGGTAACAACAGCCTATGACAAATAAATGTAAATGGCTGATACATAAAACCTTTAAGCTTATGCACTGATTTTGGTTGCAGAACTATTATGTATCTGGTTCGCTAGGTTGAGTTGCTTATCTTCCTCTTTTTTGCACAACGAAAACTGAACAACTCAATTTTAAACTATACTACAAATGATTGGAACTCTATTTTTTGAAGCTTCTCAGGATAGGAAAAAATAAATTTATGCCTATAGACAAGCTAAGCACTTTGTATCTTGGTTGATAGCAGTTTTAGTAACTTTGAAGAGCAAATGTAATGCACAAATGGAGTAAATAGCCTGACTTAAATAATAGTCATCCGTAGGCATGAATAAGTGAATCAATAATTCCAAATTTTGCAAATGTATTGCACCCATGTATTCTGTCCTTGAAATTTTTTTTCTTAGAGGTGTGCTTTAGAGCCTAGAGAGTATTGTTTTGCTAGCTTTATACATTTTTCTCTTTGCTTTCTATGGACTAAGCTGATCAATATGAGATTACACATAATTAAAAAGAAAAGCATGTTTGTTGTCTATATATTTGTTTTTACGTCTGACATTGAGGTATGGATATTTGATTTTTAGATGCATATATTTTGATTCGCAATGATGGATTGGATTAATGGCTTAGCATACTATGTTTGCTAGGGGTATATACATTGTGGCCAAATTGACAGTGAAAAATTTCTCTGTCCTGTACTCTTTATTTTGTTGAATTTAATTATCTTGTATTCTTATCCAATTGAAGATTTTCTTTTTCAAGAAGCGCAGTTTGACATTAGAAAATCTACTTATGCTAACCAGGGTATGATAAGGATACTATCGGAAGTAATGGAAGGGAAGCCATTGCTAAATTTGTTGCAAACATATATAAAGGAGAGTTAAACTTGGATTGCAATGTTAACTTTTCACAGTTTTTTGTACTTATGCCTGATTTGGATTTTATAAATACTTAGACTAATAGCAATGAGCATTATTATAAAGTTCAGCTTTGTAAATTTCCAAGATTAATAGCTGTAAATTGTGTTTATCATTTGAGATGCAACATTATAACTGATTCTCCCTCCTTCCTCCCCATGATTTTCCTTTCGATCTCTTGCTTAAGGGATATGTCATAGCATTTTGCTGATGCTATTAAGAGTTTTATGTGGTCATTATAAATAACTATAGAGATTACCTGCTTATTGTTTCTGTCTAACTCCTACAAGTTTTCTTTTTGAAGCGCTAGAATTAGAAAATAATAATATCTACATATTTTGCAATTTTTATAGACTATTTGGGTATCGCCATTCATTTGTGTGGCTGCCAAAAACTAGAGTTAGTCAAAAAATGAGAAGACCAAAATACAGTGCAGGTGGTTTTAGCTCCTAGAGTGTCTTGCATATTAGAAAAAAAATCCCAAAAAAAGAAAGGAAACCAACATGACTAATTGTCCAAGCTAGACGAGTAAGTGTGACAAGGGGGTTTAGGAATCAAAGTGATTATCGAAATATAGTTTTAGGGTGTGAAATGGAATTAATCTTAACAATTTTTTGTGGGATCAAATCACAACTAGCACCAAATCCAGGGGTGGCTAAGAGTACTATTATTATCATTATTTTTGATGGAAAAAACTAACTCACACTGGAAGGGGGGGAAAAAAACGGTCGAAAACGAGAAATCAATGCACACTGCTTCACTAATCACGACTCTCAACTTACAACCTCCTGCGTAGTCCCCCCTTTCTGCTGCACGCCTGCCCGTCTACACCCCACAAAAATTGCCCGGTGAGTCCCTATTTTGCTGTGGGATCTTCTAGCTTATACGTACTCATCTCTGACAGCTTAGCACCTGAATTTGATTGAGAGGAAGTTAACTCAAAGCCGAACTGATGAAAAGTTGTCCTTATTATTGTGCCTAGAAAGTGTTTGATGAAATGTCCATGTGATTTTCTTCAACTTTAAATTGAAACTGGAGGTTTTGATGCGCGAATGTGAAAGAAAAAAAGACAAAATAACTGGTGGGTCAGGTGAAATGGGTGAAAATTTTGGGGAAGGAATTCGGTTTGGTGGTGGGGAGTAGGGTGAAGTCGGATCGCTAAGGGGTTCAGAGGATAGGACTGCTTGGAGATTTTTGAATATCTAAAACATAGTTTTTTCTTGATTTTTATGATAGTACAGAGGTGTATTTTTCTGTTTGGTTTTTCTTTTCAGAGAATTGCAGTGAAGTGAGGAAGATTTTCTTATAGTTCTTGGCGTGCATCCTGATCTCATTTTCATATGGCTGCATCGTCTGCTTCAAAATTGTTTCGCGGTAAGCTTTGCTATTGTTCGTCGAATGTAATCTTTTTGAAAGTTCCTTATCTGATATGCACTTTTTTTTCCTTGGTTTCTAATGTAGCAATATTGCAGTTTCTGCACAATTTACGTTTCTGTTTTTAATGAAACTGAGATTTAGAAGTTTAAGGGATAATAACTCTTGCATTCATTTATGTTATTTTTCTGAGAGTGCTTGACCTAGTAAGCAGCCAAGAGTCAATCAAAAAGATCACTGGCCATGGCTGTTGATGTAAAGTAGGATCATCTTGGTGAAAAGATGCTTGTGACCTGGTGCAAACAAGGAGAGGGATTTAAAGGAACTTGGTTCTTGATAAAGTTAATGCAAACTGCTGTAAAATTATTTTCATTTTTATCATGTCACATGGATGTTGATCTGTTTATCTTTATTATTGGAAAGGACTTTTTAATTCAGCACAACTAGATAGATTTTATACCCCTGCATACAGAGATGTTCTTGAAAGATCCATCTCCTATTAGCATAGTGTTGGTCAACAACGTAATTGTTGCATGTTGGATGATTAATGCATTTAAAAAATTAGAAACAATTGGATCGGTTTCTTGAGAAACTGTTGTGTAAACTAACTTGTGTAATGCGACATAAGATTTTGAGTCTTGTTAGTGTTCATTTGCAAAGGGAACAGAATAGTTGTTTTAAGCTTACTCCTCATCTCAAATATGTGGTTATGAAGTTGGAAATCTACCTTAACAGGATGGCAATAACTTTTATAGAGGTATACCTTCATCTAATTAACTCTCTCCCTCCCTCTCTCTCTCTCTCTCTCTCTCTCTCTTTTTGTGTCTGTGTCTGGGTGGTAGTTTTTTTTTTTTGGCACTGCATGGAGTGTCATAATGTACTTTATACACATGGGACATTACTGCATCTGGTGAATTACTTGTGGTTTGACATTTTTAGAGGCTTTGTTTACTTAGATCTGTTATGCCTTGCTCGGTAGGTGCCTTTATTTAAATTGCCCTTAGAGTTAATTTTTGTTGAATCTATTTCAGAATTGGTTTATTTTTTCCTGGTTTGTTTTTTAAGTATGTTTATCTGCTATATCTTTGTGAACAACCTCAGCTGGTCGTTCATTGCTTGGGGGCCTGAAGGATCCTAATGGGTCAATAGGATTGTCAAAGGACTTGCCCAGAAGTTATCTATTTTCTCAGGTTAGTTTTCTTCTGGATTAATACATAGCATAAGTTTGTGTAACATTTATTATTATGTTTAGCCTCTAGTTTTCTTTTGGTTGTCTAGACTTTAGGACTAAGCTCTTTTCATTTGGAGTTCATTAGTGCCTTGCATTTAAGATGCCTTAAAGTTACAAGTGTCTTCATCTTCTGTCATCTTTCAGTTGGAACTGTGCATGCGCATTGCATAAGCATTGGATATGTATCAGTCAGTTATTTCATTCTAGAAGTGTATATAGCTCAAGGGATGAGAATTATAAAGAAGAACAATGTCTTAAATGAGGTGCTTTCAAATATGATATATAATATGCTGTTCTAATAGTTAAAACTAATACCAAGAAAATTAGGTTCTATGTTAAAGAAAGTACGAGGCTGTGCGTTGTTCGTAATAAACTCGGGACTAGCTTACATCTTTCACATATGGAGAAGCATGGAAAGGACCAGCTAGACAGTAGACACAAGCAACTTACATAGACCTATTAGTTCTGGGATGTTATCTTTTGGCAGCTCTAAGGAGCTGATAACTTGATGCATACGGTTTATATTGGTAGGCAAAAATTGCCATTAATTTTTGCCTTTAATGGATATGTTTATTCAATCACCATTTGTTATTACGTGAAATTAGAACCAGTGTGATATTGCATTTTGTTCTAGGCAATAGGGAATAGGTGAAAATTTTCCCTTTTGATTAATGAACTCCTCTGGACACAATGCTGAATGCTCCTTGTTCAGTTCCACTCATAAATAAATAGCATGGTTAACCACAGGAAACTTTGGTGACTGCATTGCATTCTTCATTCATACTTTTAATACTTTCCCAATCATTTTCCAGTTGATTTGCAGTTGATCTCCTGCAAGTTCTACTACAAACTAACAGCAACTAGTGGATGAATTTTTAATAAATATCTATGTTCATTTTGTCAAGAATTTTAACTAAATTTGCATGCATACTAGTTGAATGGGAAAAAAGGGCTTGATGTCATGATGCATGTCCGTGTGAGTATTTTGAGCTTGATTTGGTTTTACGGCTTATCTATCATAAAAAATCAAATACTCAAAGAGTCTCTCTTTGTTCCTCCAGCAACAAAGGACTTTTATACAGATGAGGACCAATCTCAAAGTCGTGGACAACTCGGGGGCAAAAAGGGTAATGTGCATACAGGCTTTAAAAGGAAAAAGAGGAGCCAGATTGGGAGACACGATAGTAGCATCAGTGAAGGAAGCGCAGCCTGGTGGGAAAGTGAAAAAAGGACAAGTTGTTTATGGTGTCGTCGTTCGTGCAGCCATGCAGCGAGGCCGTAGTGATGGGAGTGAAATCAAGTTTGATGATAACGCTGTCGTACTTGTGAATAAGCAAGGAGAACCAATTGGAACCAGAGTCTTTGGCCCCGTTCCACACGAGCTGAGGAAGAAGAAGCATGTTAAGATTCTTAGTCTTGCACAGCATATTGCTTGAGCAGTGGCCTTCTGTGATGCACTTTGTGTATTCTGACTGTTTTTCTCAAGCAGCTGTTGCACCCATTTGTGGAGAAATGGATAGGTTTTTACAAGTTCTCTGAGAGCTTAATTTAGTTACTAGTTAATTCAGATATTCACCAATGAAATGGGAAGTTCCAACATTAATTTCCTTGTTGCCTTCTAGCAAAATCTTAAATGCTTGTTGTCCAGGGATAAAACTTAAAAGCCCTTCTGGATGAACACTCGCGCAATTACTCCTGCCCTCAAATTTCCAGGTTTGAGATTTTCTCCACGATGCTTTTCAGCACATGATTCAACTTTCCATTGCGCCTCGACACAGAGATCAGTCAAATATGAATCAAATTCGCAAATTCAACCCATCTCCTACCATTTTTTTTCCCTTCGAAATGTGTTGCCACAATGATTCAACCACTCCCAGTAGATCACATTTGGGTAGATTAGGTCTTTAAGATGGTATAACACAATTTGAACCATTAAATCTTTGAAAATTGGGTATACCTAAATTTTGCCCAGTTCAGCTGCATAGTAATAAATTGGCATCTAAAGGTAGTTCAACCTGTAGTCAACATCAACATCGAATATGTGAATAGCAAACAAGCAGACAATATGTGAGCTGCAACTGAACGAGCACAAATATTTTTCCGGAATATTATTTTGCTTGCATCATATCACAATTATGATTTTCAATCAGTTTTTTATCTTTGCAACGGCATTTTTTTATCTCATGTATATCACAGTACAAAAAGTGTTACAATAATTATTTCAAATAATCTCCTATCCAAACACGCTAGGTTTATTTAAATCTAAACAATTCCGAAACTTAAAAAGAAAAAATTTTCCCCTCACTAACTGATATTACATTTACAATCAACAGCCAACAAGCAAACAAAATGCAAGCTGTAACTGAAGGATTCCCTAAAATTTTTTTTTTTCCCCTCACTAATAGGTATTACATTTACAGATGTTGATGTCAAGTTATTTAATCCACAAAATCAAGCTCGGCAATCAACATTCATGTCAGATAACATTTGGATGGAGGGAAATTGATTCTATTGTCTGACCAACTTTCTTGTGGAAGCATAAGAGAAACATCAATATATAAAGGGATAATTTCAGAAACCTCCCCTGAGGTTTCTGACAATTTCACTGACCTCCCCTGAGGTTTCCACAATTACACTGACCTCCCTTGAGGTTTCTGATTTTGTAACAAAATCAGCCCATGACCACAAAAGTAAACATAAAAAAGTGTTTTCAGGAAAGAGAGGAAATTTTGTTCCCATAAATGCCCTTAAGGTAGGTGTACAAGTTATATTAGTGAATTAATGAAAACTAATAAAAATCAGAAATAAATAAGAAAAAGTGAGGGGATGGGTATGGGAATCATAAAATTTTACTTATGGATATAAACAATTGGGTAACGCAACCGACCCAATTAACCCATCTACCACCACTCAGGTCATTTCACAAATACATTCATCAGACAAAACTTTCCTCTTGTCACAAAAATTCAAAGCAATGTGGTACATGTTCACAAGCAAGCAGGTTAAAATCCCGCCTGCATAATAACGTTGAAACCCGCAAGCGGGATTCTGTGTTTTTTCTATTTCAAGGTTAGCTCGCATGCGGGTTAATGTTATATTTGAGCGCGAGAAGAAAAAATTGGTAATTAGGCTCTTTGGGCATTATAAGTAAATATTTAAATTAATGGCAGTTTTATTACACCAATATTATTGTATTATCATTATTATGATTATTGTATTATTTCTTATGCAAATATAACATTTAATTATTTAAATTTGATTTTATTTTTACAATTTATAAAATTTTTATCACTTATATAATATTTTTAAAACCCTAATACATCTAAATTTGATTTTATTTTTCAAATTTATAAGATTTTTATTTAAAAAAATGGGATACGGATAAGATATCCGGTTGGTTCGATTTGCATAGGTGCATATGAGAATATCCAAATACTCTTTAAACCCGCATGCGGGTTTAAGGAGATTATGGCAACTCTCTGACACACTAGTTACCCGTCCAACTTGTGTGTATTAAAATATATTTAAATATTATATTTCATATTTTTGTTATTTAGAGTTTAACAAAACATTAATATTGGGTAGATTTGAGGGATATGCATAATTTTGCATATTTGTAGGAATATTAGAAAATGGAAAATTTGGGTAAATTCCCAAATTTTGGAGGTAAGGTGTAATCCAAGAACTAAAACAGTCATTTATAAAACATTAACAGTAATAAGGTGCAAACCAAAACTGCAATCCAAGAGTAATATCATTACAAATTTCATAACCATACATTAAATAAATAGAAATGCAATCCAATACTATCCAAAAACACCATCTGCCTTATCATATTTTAGTCCTATAATAACACAAAATGTCTTGGGTATAATAGTAATTTTGCATTATATGATGTCAGCAATTGGGTCCCAAGTTCTGCCAGGGGAGGTCAGTGTAATTGTGGAAACCTCAGGGGAGGTCAGTGAAATTGTCAGAAACCTCAGGGGAGGTTTCTGAAATTATCCCATATATAAAAGAAGTGGGGAGGGAGGAAGGGGATTGAAATCAAGGGCCTCTAATTTCTGAGATTTATATCTTAGACAGTGGACTAAGTTCTCTTCGATATTCTTAACTAGGTTGGGGTTCCTAACCAAAAAAATAACAATAATAAAGGAATTAATAATTTGGAATTTCCAAGCGCTCAGGTGGACTATGTCATAGTTACATTTCCAATATGAACATACTAAAAAGATTCCTAGAAATCATATGATACTACAACTTATGTGCTGATCACGGCTTTAAATCTCCATTCGCAGGCATAAAAGACCTTTCCGTGTTAAATTCACTAATCTCGTCACGTGATAATTTTTTAAAGCTGAGTTAGTGAAATTCACGTGACAATATCTCATTTGGGCGACCGAAAACTTCCGTAACTGAGGATTTGAAACCGCTAATCACAATTAACAAGATATTGTCAGATGATCTCATAATCAGCATTTTTTTTAAATCTCGAATAATAGGGTGAAATCTTTGACTATATTACCAATAAATGAAAAGCTAAAAAGATGCAGAGAATTTGTTGATTGACCCACTCCAAAAATAAAGAAAACTACCGCGTTTAAGAGAAGACCAAAAGACACCAAAATAAATAACCGTCAAATGGGTACCCATATCATTAAGTTATATTTTAGGTGTTAGATTTTTAGAAATATAAGATTAATTAGGAAAAGTATATAAATGCAAGGGGTTTGATTAGGAGAAATATATAAATTATAAGAGAAAATAATAATTATTAGTGTGTGTATATATACATGGTAGATTGAGTGGAATATAGGTGTGTTAATAAGTGCTCATAATGCACCCGTTAAAAAAAATCCAATAAATAAATAGTTTGGCTAACAAGTGCCTAATGCATAGGGCATCAGGTGTTAAATATTTGGTTAAAGTGTTATTAATTTGGAAAAGTATATAAATATAGGACTACACTAAATGTAAGTGTATGCATCTATATGATAAATTTAGTATAAATTAAGTGTATTAACGAGGTATTTGTTAAAATATTTTGAATTTTTCTAATACGTGCCCAACATATATAAATTTCACCCAATTTATCATACATATACACATTAATAATTACTACCATCCCTTGCATTTATGCAGTTTCTCTAATTAATCTTTTTTTAAAAAAAAATTAACTCATGAAGTATATTAATGAGGTCTCTTGAACACTTGTTAGATAGATAAAAAAAAATTTATAAATAAATTATAAAAATGGAAGAGGAGAGAAAAGTAGTCCCCCATAATTTGCGGAAGGTTGTGTTGGGATTTATGCATTGATTGATGGAGTCCACTACAGATGAGATGTGACTTTTCAATTGCCAGCATTACTAGTTCTTGAGCCCACCATCATTACTACACATGCCTTCTAAATTGGCAGCGTGACTGGTTCTTCAGGTAACTCTGTCCTCCAGTGACGGCCCTCGATGTCAATGGTCAGTGATGGGAATTGCAATGTAGAAAATTGTGAGGTTGATTTGGTCTAACAATAATTTGTACCAGTGCTTAAGGTACATTCAATGCATGCGCAAGAATAAATAAATATTTAAAATTTTTTAAAGATATTTGTTAAAATTATTTTTTTATGATATTTGATTTTATATTTTTATAATACATACAAAAAAATTGACATTTACATCAATAAAATGTACAAATAAACTGTTATTTGGCAGTAGATAGTTATAAAAAAAGAAGTAAAAGCAAATATAATAGTAGGCAGTAGAGATAAAGATAGCAGATATAAGAAACAAAAGTAGATATGATAATGAATAGTTATACATAAAGGGTAATTTAGAAAATCATAAGATGATAATTTTTTATTTACACCAAAAGGCTTCCTACCTTGATATATGGTATAGACAGAGATAAAGGTAAATTTGAAAACACACAAAATTAACACCAAAATTGGTTCACAACCTAAAGAGCCTTTATTATTGTAAAGATGTATGGTAAACATTATGGTTAAATTGGTGTAATGCTACTATTTGATAATACGGGAAGGAAAAAGAATGGTGAGCAGTTATGGTTGTAGATTCCGTGTATGAATAACTTGTGGATCATGCGGTAGATATAATTGTGTATGATAATGGAAAAAAAAAGATTATAAGTATTTAATATCAAGCGTAATCCATGATAAAGTTTTACTCAATCTAAACTTTGAAAATTGATAATTAGAAATTTTGACCTATTTTTTTTACCGTTGAGATTAAGTACTTTAATATAAATTACAGTATATCAAAATAAAAATACGAAGATTGATACTTAAAGAAATTTTGACCTTTCTTTTCTCTTTGATATAAATTTCAATAGCCACTTCATTGTATTATTTCTCTTAATGTTTTATTTAATAAATTGGCTTCCAAAACTTAAGACTTCACGGATATAATTTATAAATTCGTATATTAATAGGATAAGTCTTTCCTACATAAGAAAAATCACGATTTTTTTCCATTCGATAAATGCTTCTTTTTTTTTTTCTTTTTTATACATGGGAAGACTCGAACTCGAGATCTCTCACTTGCACTTTCTCTTCCAAATCACCAAAACTCATCCTTTCTCCCTACATAAGAAAAATCATGTAAG